GTTGCCAAAGTCAGAGTGCTTGACTAAATTTGAATGCTTGCAAAACAATAACCAGATTTGAAACCTGAATGTGTATTGGTGGATGAATAAGTTTGCTGAAAGAGAAGCAGGATTTCACAACTCTGTGTACTAATAAGATCTTTGTACACCTATACAGTGTATTGCTAAATTTCTAACACCTCAGAAGAATTACCAATATTCCAAGAATTGTATTGGCACCGAACCAAATAATAAATATTTTGACGGATTCAAAGTGCAGTCTTATTGCTGTGGAAAATACTTGTTCTAAAACACTTAGGATACATACATACATAAGCCGATAAATTCCAAATCCTGTTGTTGGCATAAACGTTTTCACAGATTCTAAGTGCTATGTGATTACTAAAGTTATATTTCCTAGTAAACACTGTAAGATATATAATCCAATACATTACACATCCTGTTCTCGGATCAGGGGTCAAGTTGGCTATCCCTTCATGCGTGCTTTGTTGCTTTTGAAGGTATCGTATCACTGTGTCATGTAAACTGTCCACTGACACAGTCGGCGATTTGTTGCTTCATTTTCAGTGGATTTCTACTTCGGTTGTAGACAGTAAAATACACGTAGAAAATAAATGCAAAATGCTTAGCAGTTAAAACTCTCAAGAGAAGTACTTTAAAATCTTATGAACAATAATCAAGAAAACAGGGCAAAGCTGCTCATTTTATTTATGATTTTACAGCTTTTTTTTCATTATACTTTGATTTGTCTACTGACTGAAGAATAAAATATACTATTAGGGTATAGGTAATAACAGATGAAATATAGTTTCGCTATTAAAAAAAGTTTCATATTTACGAAGGAGGTTTTAGTGATTACGAAAATGAAGGTTGAGATTTTTGAGACAATGAGAAGTATTTTTAATTTTTACGTAAAAATCACTTTGCTCTTGGAGTAGTAAAAATATATTCAATTCATTCACAGACAAACTTGAAGCAAAAATACTTCAATAAAAACTGATTTTTTTTTTGTACAAACAACATGTTATGTTTACTAAAAGTCTGCCAAATTTTGTGAAAGTGCACATACTGTATTAAAAGTTATAATATTAAAACTATATACAAGTAAAAATGGTCACATAGTTGGTCTCTGGGATTGAGCCCATGTTAAAAGAGTTAATAATTACTCAATTTTTAAGTTGGCCTATTGTAATTAATTTTTTCTCACTTGGCTATATAAATACTTTTACAAATTCATTTAGTGTGGGTCTGTATTCTTTCCAAGTTTCAGTCACCTGATTTTACACTCCCCTCTATACTTATACCTCTTTCTGTAATACATATGCTTTTGTTTAAAATTCCAGTGATTAATTGTAATTATAATTTTTTTGTTGTAGTAATTTGCTGAAGATGAAATGTGGATATTGGGAAACACCCAAAAAGTATGTCGTTATTGTCACTTCTGTGGTGGTATTGTTCATCATTAGGCTGTTTTCCACCTCATGAATTGTTGAAATATTTCTGACTTGTATGATTATTAGGATTGTCTTTAGATATCTAATGATAATTTGAGGGTTAATAAAAAGAATTTTTCAGATTTTTATCTTTACAAAAACAACTTAGCAGTGTGTGGATGTCCCACAAAAGTTTTACTTGTTTTTGGTTTAACACACCATTAAATATTACCATAACACTGCTCATAATTAATTAAGAACCTAATATACATACACATAATATAAAGTAGTAATATCATTTCTGTGTAGAGACATCATCTGTTGGCAGTCTGTTAAAAGTAGTCATTTGATGTTGGCATTGGATTTTAAATCTCATTCAGCCATTTTACTTTTTTGCTCCATATCTGTAGCAGCCCCATAATTCCTTACCTCTTCTCACAAAAAATTTCTATTTTAATACTGCCCTCTATCAGTGCAAATTTTCAACACTTGTGCATATCCACATGCATATGATCATGCAGCAGCTCTCCACCAATAGGAGCATCACACAATTTCTATTGTAACCAGTGTCCTCTTCACATTTGCACTTGTTAATCATTTCTTGATTTGGCAGAAGTACTGTACAGATGTGCTGGTTTTTGCTTGGAGATTTGTCAGTGTTTTCCTTTATACTATAGACTTAGTCATTCTTTACTATTTAATTAAATTTTTGTGTTTTGTAATTGTGAAAGGTTGCTTTTTCCACTTTTCTTACTTTTTCAGGGGCCGTTTGGGCTTGTGTATTGTGCCAATTGGTGCCTGACCAACTATTTTTTTATTGAAAATCTGTACTTTCCATCCTGTGACCATGCTCAGTGTCAATTACGTTGTAGCCTTTCCTACCGTGGATCTGATGTATAATTCTAGATGCTGCCAGGTGTTGGTTGTGTGTGTCTTTTCTATTGTCATCTATGCTTAAACAGTTCTATTGCAGGATTGGGTTATGCACACCATAGAGATGGTTTGTTCTGTAGGACTGCTAGTAGCTCTCTCTAGTGGTTTTTTGCTTCATAAATATGTTCGTCCTGGACCGTACACTCATGGACTAATATGAGTAAACCAGATAGAGATTGCTGCCCACTATGATGTTCCATAGTGTTGAGACTTTTCCTAACATGTACCTGATGGACAATTCCACATTTCCTTCCCTTCTCCTAGTGGCGTATGGCAGTTCTTACCACTTGCCAGTTCCTATCCACAAGGGCGGTGTACCATGGAGACCTGTCCTCCTGAGTGATGAATTATACCATTCAGTTGAGAGCAGGGTGGTGGCATTCTGCAGGTGTTGCTGACATATCACACTTCCTACCATGGACCTGATGTAGAATTCCTCTTGTTTCCTCTTACTGTGGCATTTCTCCTTCCAGCATCCTCCGGATGGACATTCCTGGTGGCTCTGGTTTTGGTTGGAGATCACCTGATAAAGATTAGTGTCGTGTAGATGGTGTGATGCCCTTCCTATTGCTGACCTGATGTACAATTCCAGATGCTGCTAGGTTTTGTTTGAAGCACTATGCCATATCATGAATTTGTATCTCTAATTGAAGTTTGCCCCTCGGGTTGAGAAGTTCCTTTGACCTACCAGAAATAAAGGAAAAGAAAGAATCAAAGATTTGGATAAAGGGGGACCATACATCTCTGACTTCACATGGGGATGCCCTGAACACCTACCAGGGAACAATATAATTCATAATTTCATGGGGATAATCATGCTGTGAATTGTGAAGTTAACATTAACTCTGTTGCAAATACTTCTATCAATATAGGAAATTCTACAACTACTTTGGTGGCTTTTTTCATGTAGTCTACCTCTAACATGCAAGAAGATCCAATGGTTGTATTGTCAACCTTTATCAATCAACATATTTATGCCCTTAATTCCAATGTATCTGTTTTTGTGTACATGGCATTTTTTATGCTCATATGGATGCTTAACAATGAAATATCCTCCCTTTTCTCATGATGATGATTGAAAAAAGCATGTTTCATTTAGGCCTATTCTACTTTATTGTGTGAAGAGCAGAACATGTCAGCTAACCCTAATTCCATAAAAACTAATTATTTTGCCCAAGGGTACTAATGTTATATTGGATGATTCTGTTCTTGAATTTTTATATTTTTCCTCTCCTGGTCATAGATGATACTTTTAGAAACCAATTAAATGTTAATAAACTTTCTCTGCTACTATTATTTCTCAAAATGTTGATCTTCAGATCATTTTTATTTGTGTGTATGTGTGTGGAAGGGGTTTTCTATGTGGTCTACCATTCTGACCCATCATCAGTGTTCTGTACTGCACACTATGAATTTATTTCATTTTGAGACTTTTTTTTTATTCTGAGTATTTATTAAGTATTTACCATTTTCATTCTTGTGATTCTCTTAATGAGGATCAATTTTTCACCTTATAGTCTTCTTTTGTGGTTAACCTTTTCTCATTCTTCGAAGTTCAGGTATTTTAAGTGCTGGGTTTTCCTCATCATACTATTTTAGCTGACCCTATATGTTAGACTTCTCATGAGAAACCAGTTTGTTTACCATCTTGAGAGCATCTGTATCAACCTCAGTTGTCCATTTCCCACAACATTGCTTATGGCTACAACTTTATGGCTTGATGTTGTTTGGGTTTTTATATCTCCAAGAGACTAGATTCTCTTCCTGGTTGACTTAATTGTGAGCCCATTCTTGCTCATACATTTCTCTGGCTGTCTGTTAATCTTACTGGGCTACTTTCCATAGCTAGTGCATTAGACATAAAATATGTTGTTTAATCCTGACTCCTAAAAAAATTGCTTATTCCTTACGTATTGTTTCACTATTATGGTTTATGAGCTTCTTTCATAGGTGATCACAGAGCTGTCTTAAACCCCCAGTTTTCTTGTTCAAAGACTTCTTCTGAGCCTTTTAGCTTCAACGACCTTAAATCTTTGGCTGTGAAAGAAGGTGATCACTGTTTCTCACCTATTTTGTTGCTTGCACTTACTGATCCTGATTGATTGTTGTGTAGTGGAATGCTTTTATTTTTACTGTTGTCAAGGCTATTTGTTATCTCACGTATACTGAATCTTGAGGGAGTCTCAAAAAGACTGTTTTGAATCTTATAACATTTCACACTCTTCAGGTCTCACTCCAGTTACATTAATGTATTGGCTTGTACACGTGATCTTTCTTGTTAACATAATATTTCAAATATCTTAAGATGAGTTTTAGATATTGCCACAATTTCCATTTGGTGATGCCTTTGGTGTAAAGGTCATAGTACTCTCCAGACTTAACATTTTATTTTCATCACATTGTTTCCTTATCAGCATCAAGATTTAAAAAGCTGAAGATGAGCTATTTAGAAATAGATTTCCACTATAAGATAAAATTATTTTAAACATAAAGCTGTTTCCTTGAGCATTATATATATCATTCTAATTATCAAATGTTGTAATAATTTCAGAATATAGATGGATAATTGATTGCAAAGCCTGTTAATCTTTAGTTTTTTATGTAATTTAAGTTTTTATTTATTAATGTTTGTAGGCATTGGGGAGAAATGAGGCCAACTAATAGAAATGCTACTAGTAATGAAGCCAATCAGAATCAAGGAAACTTGAATCCAGTTCCAATTGAACTGCAAACAAGATCTAGAGAATTAGGATTATGCTTTTCTCTACCATTTTTACCAAGATCGTTTCTATCATCTGATCCTGTCTTGGGAGAGTCATACTGTGACTGTTACAAAGAGAAAGACCAAAATGTAGAATGTACTTGTGGAGAAGATGATACAGGTATGTTAATAGATATGTTAACTGAAGGATTTTTCACAAAATGAAAAATCGGGTATATCTCCTCCCACAAGTTAAAGCAATGAAACAAGTCTGTGTGTAGTGCAAACATTTATGAGATGTTGTAATGCCTCAACTGTTCAAGTTGTCGCTGCTAAGCATGTTCCTTTTTTTGTAAAGTAACTATTCCTTCTATATTGTATTCAAAAGGGGTCAAGTTTTGCCTGTTAAATTTCAAAACATACAAAAGTTCAATCGTGCTAAAATACTTAAAACAACAGTAAAACAGTAGTTTCATTCGTTTTTCTCACCCAGTTGATTCAACTTTAAAATGCTTTACAGAAAGTGATGTTTCTGTAAAATTGCTAAATATATATTAAAGATTAACTTGGTACACATTTTCTGTTGTTAAAAAAAGTTATAATTTTGGCTTAATATTTATTACTTTTGTTTTTAAAATTTCAATATGATTTCTTTGAAACAATGTTTTTATATGAACAAAAAGGTGCAATGAAACATTTTTATATAAAAGTTTTTTGCACTAAAACTATAAGTTAATTTTTGGGGCCTTTTCCTAAATCACTAATGTACTATAATGAAACAACTTTTCTATTTTTGCCCAAAATGAGTTTTGTATGTTATTAAGCACAAAGCTACACAATTGCCTTTCTGTGGTGTGCACACCACAGGTATTGAAACCTAGTTTTTAGCATTATAAGCCTTCAAAAGTACCACTGAGGGGCAAATAGGGTTGAAAAAAATCAAATCTTCTTCTGTAATGGCTACTATGTCCAAGAAATGTGTAATACACTTTGGAATGAAGTCTAGGGACCATAAGCAAATTTAAAAAAATCTTAAATATACTTTTTACAATTCAAAGACATGAACAGTTTTGAAAACCAAATGTTTTAAATTTTCTACAAAATGTATTCATTAATTTAATTCCTCAACTACTGTATTGTATATATAATACATCACTGTAATACTTTTATTGCAAAAAGAGTTAAGTATGTTTAGAATTATTTTTGTTAAATTTATAAATGTGATTATGCACCAAAATCTCACAGACCAATGGTGCCTAAACTGGATTCCACAAGATAGTGTCAGAGGGGTCTTAGTAGAAGTGGAAATGTCCTCTTTTAAACTTCTCTGAAATTGATGAAAGTAATGATTGGAAGTCCTCATACAAGGTTTCTAAAATATTTTGTGATCTTCAGCAAAAAAAGTTTGGGATTTCCTGTTATAGATGACTAGCACAGGCACCTAAGCCAATAGGGTTTAAACTAAGATACAAACTGCAGATTGTGAATTGTAGTATATGCCTTTTGGTAGAAAGTGGGATCCATATAGTATTAGGAATATATCATCTATTTCCAACTCTTGCTTAAGTATGAAATTAAAAAGTATAACTTGGAAAAGAGGAGCAATCTGGATACCTTGACAAACATGAAAAAGTACCATTTGCGGTGTACAGTCAGTTGTGAGGAAGTAGTTTGTGCTAATATAACGTGAAAACAATGAAAAAATAAAAAGTTGTAAAAATTCGGGGATGATGATAAGTTGACTTTCAGCCTGAATAATGGTCAAACACTTCTACGAATAACATATGGAAACCTAAGATGTTTAGGCTAGTATATACTGGTACTTAAAAGAATAGTGATATATGTTATACATTACTTGAATTAGAATGGTAAGTTCCAGTTCAAATATAAGAACGTATGTAGCTGTTCTCTTAGCTCTCTGCTCTGTTGGTCTCTACATTCTCACCCAGAATTATGGTTGATATTGCATGATTTGTTATATCTTCACATGATAGAATATAAAGTAAGTATATCTAATTTATTAAGTAATGATTGTATATTAACATATCAAATATAGCCTAACCAGTTATAAGTTTAAAACTCATTAAAGCATTAAGCATGTTTTTCAACCTTTAGCAACAACTGATGCGGCCTGCAAATGCAAAATGAGACGTTCTATAGTGGATTGAATCAACACCCTTATGTCCTGTCACAAACCAGTGATGCATTTCAATTTAACATTATACCAATTACTTACAAAACTGTGTAATTGATTAAGAAAGCACATTTTTATGTTTGGATAGCCATATAAGCTCAGAACTAACTAATTATAAATCTTTTGGATTCCTCTTATGGCATTTTTGTCAAGTCTTGCCACAGGAATTTTATTCAGTGTGGCAAAACCTGGAAATATGTTATTCTGGTACAATATCTTACCTCCTTTCACAAATAGCTTTTCTCGACTTATACTACCCTCTGTATGTGCAACTTTTTGCTCGCCACTAGCCTTGATACTCCTACCTTCCCTCACATGTATTTACATGAGGCATCTTCATGCTATCATGCAAATGATCATGCAGCAACCCAACACCAATAGGAGTGCGACACAACTCCTATCATTACTAGAGTTCTTTCTTCCATGCAGACTGTAAAATCACTTCTTGATTGTCAGTCATACTGCTAGGATGAGTTTTCATTGAACAGTTGCTCAAGTTGCAAATATTAAAGTCCTTTTTTTTTCAGGTTTTCCAAACCATGTTTTTTTCAAGTTTTCATTGTTTTGGAATTGCTTTTGGAGCTTTAATTCTCATTTTTCCTAGTCATACTACTAGGATGGGTTTTCACTTGTTCTTACCTACTGATTGTTTTCATTGAATAGTTGCTCGAGTTTCAAATATTAAATTCCCTTCTTTTTTTTTTTCAGGTTTTTTCAAACCATGTTTTCTCGAGTTTTCACTGTTTTGGAATTGCTTTTGGGGGGCTTTAATTCTCATTTTTCCTAGTCAGATCCACTCATCATGATCTTGTAATTTCACATCACAAATATCACTACTGCTGTGATTAAAATTAGTGATCTTCCCACTACTTCAAGGACATCAGGGCACGTTTTATTGACTCAGAAAGTAATGGCTTTGGTTTGAAGGGAATTGGCTACCTTTATGCAATCTTCTGTGTCACCTGATGATTGTTCTCTCATGCCATGGGCAGGTATGCCTGAACATGGGGATGAGGTTTTGTATAGCCCGTTTCCTCCTCCTGCCTATGCCTCAAAGTTCTACTTCACTCTTAGTCAACTTCATCATTCAGGTGGTATCATATAATTTTTCTTTGTTTCCCATTTCCTATGATTCCTCACCAGCTTTTCTCAGTGATGGGCTGGTGGGTCAGTATCTAGTTTTTCTTCTGGTGGTGGATGGATGTCATTGGTCAGACATTTTCACTATTGATGTCCACCACACTTTATTTCACTGTTCCTATGTAGTCCTTTTCCCCGATCGTTCTTTCTTGCTCATACCTTTGATGGTACGGGAGGTTAATTCTGCCTTAACACTCATCTCCTTTCCTTCTATATCACACCTTTATGACCTTTCTGACTGAGCTTGCCCTCTTTGTCTGGTCAGGGCTCTCCTCTGTTGTATGGTGCATGCTGTTTCTTTCCGTGGTTCCTGTGACCTTTCTCCTATTCCCCTTATGGGATCGATATGCCTACTTTTTAAACCTGACTTATTCTTCCTTTTCACCGGATGTTTGTCATCTTTTCCATGTCTTTTCACATAAAACCCATTGCCTTACCATGTCCCAGGCTGCTCATTTCCATCTTCCATTGGTGGATGTCATTCGTGCCAGTATGTGGACCACTCCACATACCTTCACTGATAATTATCTTCACCACCTGGACATTTCCTGTTTTACAGATTATCGTCTTCCATCACTATTTTGTGCTCCTCAATTTCACTCCGAGTAGGTAAGTGATCTTTTTTTTCTACATTTTCTTTGCATGGGCCCTTTTTCACATCTTAGGATCCAGCTTTGTGGTGAGTGTTACCTGACCAAGTATATTTATTCTTAAATCCACACTGTATGAACTGTGTGTAAAATATGCCCACTGTCCAAAAAACTGCTTGTAGGTATTCCTTGCAGTATTTTGCCTCATAAAGACATTCACCCTAGACTGTACACTGGATCGGTCTGTTTTTGTTTTCAAAATAAGGTGTTGTGGTCTACCAGTGCACTGTCTCTGATTTAGCGTTCCTCTGGATTGTCCAGTGTGCTGTTTATCCTCTTCTTCTAGTGGAGTATGGAAGTCCTTGCCACTTACCAGTTCCTAGCCATTGGGGTGGTAAACCATAGAGGCTTCCTCGTAAGTGTGCTCAGTCCCACTCAGTTAAGAGTAAGGAAGTGGTGTTCTGCCGGTGTAGATGGCATTAACACTCATCCTACTGCGAACCTGATGTACAATTCCAGATACCATCAGATAAGGGACAATGCTCACTGCCAACATCCGGTTCAATCGTCCAGCTGAGGCACCGTTGCTTTTTATTGTCTCCCAGATGTCAGTTCCCTGTGGCTATAGTGATGGTTGGAGCTGGACCAGCCATATAAGTTCTCACATATGTGTGGCTGGGTACACAACCCCTACTGCAGACTGGACAATACATTGCCAATGCTGACTAGTGATGGACCCTCACTTTGCTGTCTACCTTCCTACTGTCCCCCAGATGTCGGTTCTCGGCAGATATGGTGATTGTTGTGTTGTATGTGCACACACAATGATGCAGATCATTGATATGGAAGCTCATCTTCCCTACCAGTTTCCATAACCAAGGTGAAAAGTAGAGAACTCTTTTTCTTACCGTGGGCTGGATTTCTCTATCACAGTCCACCTAGTGTTGGTTGAGGTCGATCTCCCACTTACCGTCCGGTGCACCCTACACCTGTGATCTTTTAATTTCACGTGTGTGTGGCCGGGGTACTCTCCTCCTCCTATGGATTGGACAATACATTCCTCAAGCCTCCTGGTGTAGGACTGGAGATGCATCCCCACTTCACTGTCCACCTTCCTTGCATCCCCCAGGGATATGATGATGATGGTTGTGTTGAATATGCTCACATGATGATGTGGGGGCATTCGTCCTGTGATTTTGTCCTTCTTGCAACAAATTTTCATGTGGGCAAAGAATATACCTGGCTCAGAAGTAATGCGATCTCCCATGGAAGTGTTGCCTTCAGTTTATGCACAAAGTGCATGGTTTTTATTTGGGTGCTTTCTAAAGGGGAATAATCTTCTCACTGGTCCCTCCACCAATTTAATGTGGTATTCTAGCTATTTCTGAGAAGAGGTAAGATATCATATCAAAAGTTAACATTATTCTACACTAAAAATGTATTTCCGATAGATATTTACCTCCTCTCGCATTTCCCACCCGACCTCCTCACTTCCAGTGTAAGTTTTGTATGTACTACCCAATCTCGAAGTGATTACGGCAGACTGCATAGAAAAGAAGACACTAGTGATAATTAGAGTTGTGTCACGCTCCTATTGGTGGAGGGTTGCTGCATGATCATTTGCATGATAGCATGTGATTACACTAGAGTGTAGGTGGGGGAGTGGCAAGGCAAGTGGCAAGCAAAAATTTGCACATATAGAAGGCAGTATAAGTTGAGAAAAGCTGTTTGTGATTACACTAGAGGGTAGGTGGGGAAGTATCAAGGATAGGCGGCAAGCAAAAATTTTCACATATAGAGGGCAGTATAAGTTGAGAAAAGCTGTTTGTGATTACACTAGAGGGTAGGTGGGGAAGTATCAAGGATAGGTGGCAAGCAAAAATTTGCACATATAGAGGGCAGTATAAGTTGAGAAAAGTTGTCTCGTAATTACACTAGAGGGTAGGTGGGAGTATCAGGTCTAGTTGCAAGCAAAAATGTGTACATATAGAGGGCAGTATAAGTTAAGAAAAGTTGTTTGTGAGGAGGTAAGTATATATTAGAAGTACATTTTAAGTGTAGAAAAATGTTAACTTTTACCACTTTGCTAACACTTAATTCAAATTATGTATGTGTGTGGGATAGAAGTCAGCAAAACCTGGATACCCCTTTTGAAACCATTTGAACAGTTAGTCGATTCAAGTTTTATTAGGGTGGGTTCAGATGAGCAGATAACATGCTAACCTTTTTAACAAGAACACCAGGATTGAATCCTGGCCATTATGACCGAAGAAAATTGTCCTGAAGATGGCAGCAAATTAGCAGCTGAAACTAATTAGTGTCTTGCAATAAAGAGGTTAAGAGGTAGAATTAGGTGTTGATGTAATATCATTCTTTAGTTTTTTTGTGGGAGAAAGTATCTTTCAAAGAACAAACTACAGGCACAGTTAAAGTAATTGTAGCTTGAACAACAGCTTTGTTTTGAGTTGAACATAATAATAAACTGTTTGTTTGGTTTAGATGTATAGTATCTTAGGTTATAAGTGGTGAGTAAATGACTGTACATGTAAACCAAACACACTGTTTACATTCCATTATTGTATATGAGGCATATTCTATTCATTTATTTACTCTTTTAAGTAGCACTGATAAGCTGTGAATTCAGTAAATCTAGTCTGTAGCAATAGGAGTAGCTAATCAAATAATAATTAGGTTTCAGTTTTAAACTTAAAAAAAAGTATTTGCAGAATGAAGTTGAATGTAGAAAATAATAAAATCTTTGTTCTGTCATAGTAAAACAAAACATAAATTTAAATATACCTAAAAACTAATGTTTGTTTCTTTGAAAAGCATACGCAGGGTTATATATTAGCTTTACATGTTATGTACTATATCATAGTTTTGTACATAATTTAAAATCTTGAAGTTATTGTAAAAATATGCTGATAAAACATACCCCATAGCACTATTGTCTTTTGCTGGTTTGATTTCACTAACTTGTATTTTAAAGTATCCAGGCCTGTTGCAGTGCTAATCTCACAAACATACACTTTTTGACCTGACAAGCTCATAATGCCAGAGCACAATGGCCTGTTTCATTTGTAAGTTAATGAAAATATACAATGTACAAGCGAATGACAAAGGAAAGTATAAAATTTTAGGAATTGATTATTTTTAGCATATGGAGTGTTTTCTAATATTTCTAACTACTTTTTTGTAGGCTGTACTTTTTATCATTTCCATATGATTTTTAAAAATGTTTTAAAAAATTAATTTTCATAAATAATATGCGTTGAAGATTAATTATTCTTTTTAGTTTGTAATTGTCAGAATTATTTTTTTTTACTAAGTGATGTGTTCCCTTAACTTTTTTTCTTTATTCTTAACACATATGTTATGTTCTGTCATTTGGAGCAATAGGATTATTTTTGAAAAGATGAAGTGTTTCGTACAACACAACTATCGTAATCAGTTTAGTTCAGTGTTATACACCTGAAGAAAATATTTTGCTCAAAACTGTATATTAATTTTTTTATGAATATTATAGATCTATGCTCATCTTAATTTTTAATACAACACACTTCAGTTGAGTTTCACATTTAGATAAGATTTGAAAGTATTGAATTTTATGTATGTTATTCATAAAATAAGTTTGATATTTCAGATTTTGACTGGGTTTGGGACCATAATCAACGGTCAGTCAACACTAACCTTCAAAATGGGAACAGAGAAGTTAGGTTTCATAGCGAATACAGTTGTGGAACAGCAGCAGTTAGAGGGAATCAGGCAATGGCATCTAATCAGCACTACTGGGAGATTAAAATGACTTCTCCTGTATATGGAACAGATATGGTATGTTAAACTGATTAAAGCTTTATATAAAAGGATATTTAGAAATCCTTTCAATTGACAAAGCTCAACTATTTCAGAAGCCTCATTTGATTAGAAATCATTATGAAGAAAGACTGAACAAGACTTAACATGAAAACAGCACAGTACATTGTTGACTGATGAAGGCTCGGGTAAGAGGGACGGAAGCTTGAAATTAACGAAAAAGTATTTAACATATATAACAGTCCATGTGTATGTTTTTACATTTTAAAAAACTATGAAAACTGTTCATTAACTCAGCTATTTAGCTCTTCAAGATCACAAGCTGTTAAGCTGTAAAACTAATGTCTTAAGCAAACATATTAAATTTGTAAACAAATAACTTGTATATTAATCAGGATACCATGACAGAATTTAGCAAATATTATATTATAAGGTAACAACAACTTTTATTTAAGTTATTGTTTTAAGTAGAATTATGTAAAATTTAAAAACTTCAAGTTCTATACATGAAAATACGTATACTTTTAGATAAAGGATCTAGAAGTTTCTGTTGGAGAGTAAATGAAATGCTTTGTTGTATTAACTGCCATAGAAATGCATACCTTTACCAGAAAAGTCTACATCAGCAAAATATGTATGCAAGGATGGACTACATTAAAATACTCTGACATTTTAACATACTAAACCAAAGTAAAAACATTTTGTGGGAATGTACTTTCATTCCCAGGAATATTGAAGTCAGGATCAATTGTACTGTTGCAGTGTAAGAAAGCCAATAGTATGTTAACCTTTCCATTATGGGCTGGGTGGAATCCACCCAGCTCGTAACCATAAAAGTATCCATGAGAGTAATTATACTGTGGTCTTTGATAATGTATACACTTTTGCAGGTTATTGGTAAACATTACAAGGTTTTCATACACAAAAGATCAGGTTTTTAAATTATATTGACCTTCCAGCCATTCCTGGCTAACAATACAGAAGTTACAATGATACAGCGCACATGCACTCGTGTTACCATATCCAGTAATATATAACTGGTCTTTATGAAGTGACCTGTCTTGTATGTACATTATTTCTGTTTAAAATACATTCTTAAATATATTTTTTTGAAATCATAGAACTGTAAATAAAGAAGTAAAGCAAACAATTATCTCTTCTATTTACAACTGCTT